GTTTAAACTAAACAAAAACTTTTACTAATATTACTTAATACATTTAGCAATATTAGTAAAAATTATATTAATATTTTTACGAGACAAAAATAAATTTGTGTCATCTGCAAAATTTATTGTTGTTAAGTTTGATGATTTATGAAGATCATTTATGTATATTAAAAAAATAAGTCAACCAAGTATGGATCCTTGTGGAACACCACATGTTATATTCATTAATACATTAAATATAGAATCTTTATTGTCAATAAACTGTTTACGGTTAGTAAGATAACTTTCAAACCATAATAGGGTGTTATTTTTAATACCATATGATAGTAGTTTTTTTAACAGGATTTGATGATTGACGGTATAAAAAGGCCTTAGACAAATCAATAAACACTCCTAGTGTAAAACAAGTGCCTTTAAAAGAGTCAGTTATATTGCGCGTAAGTTGAAGAATGACATGCTCGGTTGAAGTATTTTTTTTAAAACCAAATTGGTTTTTGTATAGAATTTTATTTTTAACAGTAGATAACAGTAGATAAGAGTAGATTCGGTTGTGCATTATTCTTTCTAAAATTTTTGAAAAACTAGAAAAACTGAAATAGGGCGATAATTTGTTGTATTTGCACGATCCCCTGTCTTAAAGATTGGAGTTACTTTTGCTGTTTTTAGTTTATCTGAAAAACACACATGTGTAATGGATATTCTGAAGACTTTATAAAGAATATCTTTTATAACATCATCGGAATCAATCACAATATTTGTGTTAATATCATCATACCCAGTTGCTTTATTTCGTTTTAATGACTTAATATCAACCTCAAATTCATTAAAAGTTAACTCAGTAAAATTTAGAATAGAGTTTATTGATGTTTCGAACTCATCAACAGATTTATCTTTAATGAATGGAATACTATCGCTCAATTTTGTCCCGATTGTGGTGGTTGCTTATTAAATTCAAATGTTTTAAGCCACTTAAAAATCCTTAAGCCACTTATTAATTTGTTGTCAATTTGTATAAAATTTGGGAGTAAATGTTTATTTGGTTTAAGTATTCCAGACACCTCCTTCATGATTTGCCAGACGCTGTTTGAGTTTTGCTTATATTTATTTATTATTGCTTATAATTTATTAAGCAAGTTTGAATAGTAGTTTAATTTTGCATTTTCGCTTTTCAAATAAGTTTTTATAAGTTTTCGGTAGTATAATACTTTTTTGTTGTTGTTGAAAAATTGAAAAATATCAGAAGTGATACTTGCTAGCATTGCACTGTGGGCCAGAATTTTTTTTCCGTGGCCAAAAGTCCCAAAAAAACAAAATCTTCTGTTCGTCGATTTTGAACTAAAAAATAAATCATTAAGGATACATGGTCGTAGCTGTTTTTTTTTTTGTGAACAATAACTACCGTTTAATAAATGCAAAAATCAGAAAATTAAACAATCTTCAAGCGGCATTCAGAAAAAGGAACATGTGGAAACTTTGAAAAACACCATTAAAAAAACCATTAACTCTAAGACATTTTATGTATAAATTAAACACAAATATAAAACTAAAACATATTTTATATAAGCACTAAGTTAATATGTTTATTTAAAATAAAAACAGTCGAAAGCTTTATTAATTTTAAAAAGCTTTATTAATTGAAAAAAGTTATGTAGATTTTGACAAGTACTTTTGAAAAAAAAAAAATTGCGAAAATTTGACATTTTTAAAGCCATTATGAATGGTTCTAGCAAGCTTGCCTTCATATCTAGAAATTAAGCGGATACATTTTTAAGTAGAGTAAAGGACCTATGTTTCAATAATAATAAAGAAAAAAGTTTAGAAGATTTAACTTTTATGGGACTTTTGGCCACGGAAAAAAAAATTCTGGCCCACTGTGCATTGAAATTAAAACGTATTCGTATAACAATTTACGCTAGTCAGGAATATTTTTCAGAACTAAATTTACTATTTCCGGTAAAAAATTATGAGTTAAAAACGAAAATAGTGAACTATGGGGTTAAATGAAATACGCCAATTCTTCGCCAATAAGGTTTTTATCAACCAATTATGTCTAAATACTTTGTATAGCACCAGCGCTAAAGTTAACTCCACAGTCAACTCGCTCGCAACCAACCTTCAATATAATTCCGACTATTCAAAAGGAAATTTAAAAAGATGTTGAAAAACAATTGCAATTGGCCCAATTGCTTGCCGCAGCTTTTTAGAAAATGCTTTGTATCCAACGCTTTTAAAAAAAACAACGAAAAAATGTAGACGTGCCAAGAAGCGAAGACAATTGTCTTAATTAATATGAAATATTCAAAAAATTGAAAAATACTGATAGCGAAGCAGCAGCAAAGCAAGCTAAGAAACAACGTAAGCTTGACTTGGATGATAGCAGCATATAAATCAATTAACATCAGCAACTCCAACAACAACAGCAACCAAACCAAGTCAAGTCTAAAAAGTACTGTAATGCTTTGAGCGAAGCTTTAGCAAGTTAAAATTCAAATTAGTTAATGGTATTAGATCGAAAATTCAAAATGCAAAGTTGTTTTTGTCAAACATGCATTCCAAAGCGAAATATAAAAGACACCGAGTTTTATTGCACAAAAAAGTGCAGCACAATTATGCTGCACTTTTTTGTATGTTTGACAAAGCCATTTTTTTGTGCAGTAAAAAGGACGTCATGAAAATAGGACAAGGGAGGGGGGGGGGAGGTCATCAGAAAAGGACGTCATGTTATAGAATTTTTTTATTTTAGTTTTTATAACATGGACTATATTAGGCCTAAATATATTTGTTTAGCCTTATTTATTCACTTGAAATTTTTTTAATTACTTTATAAAGAAGTTCAAATCGTTAAATGAGCTCGGTATTTAACGCCGAGCTCGAAAAAAGAGGCTACGATATTAGCAGAAGTGTTTTATATACTCGTTTGATGCCAAAACGGAGCAATTTATTTGAAGGAAAGAGACACGTCCATACAGTTCCAATCAATTTGATGCAAGCCCAAAACGATCTTCATTCAACTCACTTGGATGATCCATTTTGTACAGCAACTATAAGGAAAATGGAACAAATTTGCTCTTTTTTAGGTCCCAAGGATGTTTGTTTTATAAGTCAAGACAATATAGCTCGGATCCCGATTAAAATTACCACTGCTAAGACACAAGCTGCTATATTAATGCGTATGAAATATCAAGTTTCTCTTCCTGTTCACGATTGGGTCATTGCCGCAAAGCACAAGCTCATCTCGTCTACGCAGGCATTGAAATCAAACTAAATAGGCTTAGAAAATCTGACGCAGTTTTCTATTTTGGTCCCACTTATATTGCTGTTCGATTCCATTACAAAAGACTCTTTGAACAAAGAGGTTAAGCCAAAGAGGTTAATTCTCCTTCATGATTATTATGGAACTCAACTAGACTCTTAAGGAATTTAAATTCGTTTTTAATATCAACTCTTTATCAAAATACAATATATAAAGCAAGACTTAAGGAATTAATTATCTGCATTGCGACTTTTATTTCAGGTAAATTTAATTTAAGGAAGGACAGTGGATCTTCTTATGGAGAAAGCAGAATTTTGATTTTGCTGGAAAGATCTGTGCCTCAATCTTTTTAGGTTTGATGATTGATCTGTTTCCAACGGTCGTTGAGTATATCAATCTAGACGACAAGACGGAGCTCAATGCTTGTCATCTCTAATCGAAGGATCAGGAATGGTTAGTCTCTTATGTGTGTACCAGCCAATTTGACGCAAATTGTGAAATGTGAGGATTCTGATGTTGTTCTTTGAAAAGGAGCTCTTATTTCCATTTTATTTCCGGTCCATTTCCGCCTTTATTTATTCCAATCTGCCACTTAGAAGATGACTTGAAAACTGTTGTAGTTTCAGACGTCACAAGCAAGAATCGTTTTCCTTCTGTACTTTTTCTTATCGCCTCCAATACTCAGAGCACAATTCCTCGATCATTAAAATCACTCAAAATTCCTCTTTACGATCTGTTTTGTCCCTCTGTGCAATCAAATTTATCTTAGAGATTCTGTAAGCATTGTAACTTGTACTTTGCCAACCATATCGTGTATAGAAGGAATGTCAGCATTACTTATTCCAATTTTATTAACCATACGGCTATTGCCTTTTGCGAGTAAGACCTGTTCACATTGCCGCCAAGTGCAAAAGAGAGTAAATGGACGTAATTTCAGTAGAAGAGAACGCGAAAATACAGAAAAATGTAATTCATGTGAAAATTTCAATAAAAATGTTTAAAACAATTTTGTTTTAGAAAATAAAGAGAGAGAGGGGGGGGGAGAGATCCCAATTTTATGACATATTTTTCAAGGGGACTATAAGGAAAAAGGACAACCGGTGACAAAGGAGGGGGTCAAAAATTGTCTAAAAATGGTGACATCCTTTATGGACAGCTACTTTCCCGTAAAAAAGAAAATGAATAAAAACTTTTCACTACTTCATTTGATCTGATTGGATAAATACAAATCAAACAAAAATTACACGCTCTTGTTTTAACAACGGCATGTATTATAACAGTAGACCACCTAGTTTTTTATTTACAATCTTATAGTTCTATTTATTTCATATTAAAAAAAAATAAATTGTCAATCAACATTAAAATATATGATCATTATAAAACTTGTTGTTTAAATATTTCAAATAAATCGACTTTTAGTCTCAGTTTTAATTGTTATTATTATTTAGGTACTCCTTATCAAAGAGCACTGCAGAATCAAAAAGTTTACGAATGTCGCTTATCGGCATTGAACCTCGTACCTTAATGCTTCAAGCCAGAACTCTAAACATTGTGACACGGCTGTGTCGGACTTTTAAAAAAAAACTTTTAAAGAAACTTTGTCGATTTAGTCGACAGTCGAATTATTTCGAAGTCTAATTGTAACGATGTTTCTTGATATTGTCTCGAGATTTTTGAATTTATATCGTTTTTGATATCGTTTTTGATATCTTTTCGAGTCGACCTCGTTTAATATCTCGATATTTATCAAAATTTTTTGTAGACGTAATCAAGCGTTTTTTTCACGTTGTATCTACACTAAAATATATAACTAAATTTGTAACTAACTTCCTAATGGATATCAATATTAAAAGATACAGTTTATAAGTTCACAAATCCATTGAAAAATGAAATTGTTGCTTCTGAAATAGTTTTATTTATGTTAATTACATATTTTAACCTTGACGATTTCTCCTTGTTTGCATACCACCACAAGCATACGATCGTAAAAAACTTGTTTGTTAAATACTATCAGTAAAAATGCATTATTTTAAACTAAAAAATAGGATTATATTATACCTATTTATGCTTTTACTAACTTTGCTCTTCGGAAAATTACTTTTTGTTAGTAAGGAATGCAAAAACTTAAAAAACCAAATACCGTCAATACACCAAAATGTTATTTTTCCTGATTTCTTCAATTTAAATGACCATATTGTGGAGTTTGACGATAGTAATCAAATACGTAAAGTAAAACAACGTAATGTTGTTGAACCTATTGTTGCACCTGACATTAATTTGGAAAAGATTGTATCTGAAAACAAAGGTATTTTGCAAACTATGTTTTTATTTATATTAATATTTATAAGAGACTATTTTACATAAAATAAAGGGTCTCTAATTTTTTTCAAAGGTAGAAAGCAAATATTTGAATTTTAACAAAAAATATTCGAATTTTAACAAAAAAAGTAGGTATATGATGATAGAGTATTCCGAGTATGTTTATTTATTTTGTTTTTACAAAACCTATAGAGATAAGTATTTTAGTTGTAATAACATAAAAATTTTTTAGGTGACTTAAGGTCTCTTAGTTAATAGTTGCTTTATTTTTATTTCAAATTATTGTAAATCAGAAAAAATATAAAACAGTCTTCACAAAAAACAGGTAATTTTAGATTAATTTTTTTAATAAAATTAAGGAAAATATTTTCAAAACATTGCTAATAAAACTTATTTTTATGCCTGCATTTTTACGAAAAAAATAAAAGATAAACAGAATAAAAGAATAATGAAAAAAACTATACTGGGTAGCCTTATTCCACAAGTAAAATATACCAATAACTTTTTAAGTTACTTTCAGACCAAATATACATACAATGTATGTATATTGGCCTGAAAGTAACTTAAAAAGTAATGTATGATTGCGCAGGCTAACTTAAAAATGACCATCCTGCCAATTCTTTTACTTTTTAAATTTTAAACTTTGAGCTCAAGAAATAATCTCTTGTGTAGTAGCAACCAAAATACTTTATAACCTAATGTAAGCAGCCATGGCGCAGTGGCGCACTTGCCTCAAAAACGTAAGATCTGTGGTTCAAACCCCACCTCTGAGCAAGTTATGGAATATCGATTGGGAAGTAGTAAGTAATGGGGGTCCCGGCCCCAGCTAAAAATGAGAGTTTTTGCAAAATCCTTACAAAGATTTAGCAGGGTTTGATAGCCAGGGCTAGAAAAAAGCTTATAACACTTAATACATAATAGTTTTATGCTTTTTTTTTTAGCATGAAGGCACTGATACAGTAAAAGGATGCAACTTGTTGAATAAAAAGCCAAGCAAGAATGAAATTTGGTTTATTATTGATATTGATAATAGCTCATTTGAGCATTTACCATGATTGTATTTGTAGAAAAAAAAGAAAGAGATGCAACCTAACAACAAAGGGAGAGTGGCTTAAGCTTTCTGATAAAGCAGGTCTTATTACATTTACCAGGTGTTTTTAGACTTTGTCTGAGAGTAAGAGAGTTGCTATTCATCAATATAGGAATGCCAACAATATTGCAATATTTTTTTTTTGCAGTAAATAAATGAGTTTTGTTTATTAACAAAAGTTTTGGAGGTTAAGTCCAGAATTTAAATCCATAAGCCACTGCAAGCCTTAGGCTGTTACAGAAGAGAGATCAGATTTAAAATCGACTGCTTGTTCTAAGCAATTAAAAGTGAAGATTTTTGGTCATGACAAGAGTATAAAGTTGAGTCATCAACAAATAGAGCCATTTTAGATTTGAAGATTTAGACATGAAGATTGTTATTGTAGATAAGAAACAATACAGGAGCAAAGATAGAACCTTGTGGTATCCTTAAAGTTATTTGAAATAAAGTAGAAGGTAGGCCTTTAAGAATAACTATACTATTGCAGTTAGAAAGAAATAATTTATTAACCTCAAAACCTTTATATAAAGAAACAGAGTGAAGATCAATTGTAAGATAGTGGAAAGGTCAAAGTGTTTTCTAGAGTTTTGAAAAATTGGAACCACTTATTTAGCACTTTTTAAAAGTTTAGCAAAAATTGAAGAGAGTTCTGGAAAACATTTGATAATGGAAATCTATTCTGGAGCACAAACTGTAGAAATCTTTAATTGAGAATTAATTTTAGCATTGAAAGCCAGAGTGACTTCCATATTTAACAATGAATTAATCTGTTTAACTGTCAGGAAAAGTATGGCCATTATACTCAAGAGTCAAATTAGAGTAAGATTTCTTTGTAAATAACTCTGCTTTATTCTGGGGAGAAGTAAAAAGATCAGACCCATGAATTAGAGACTAAATATTAGACTTACTTTAGTTAATGACATTTTTGATGACTAACCAAAAGTCTCTAAAACCTAACATCTGAGATAAGATACAAGGTTTAGTAAACTGAGAATAACAGAGCTTAACATCAGACAGGACTTTTTTTACATTGGCTTCATACAATAATAAAAGGACATACAATAATAAAAGGAAAGAGAGATGTTCTTGTAAAAATGATTTAAAAAATGACTAATGTTTAATAAAGCAACTGCTCAAGATGGTGAAAAATGTGGAGTAGAATGAGGCTTGACTTAAAATTGAAGAGAAGGACTTTCACAGATGCACTTTATGATACATATTATTGATATAAACATATTATTGATACTGGCATCAATATATATTAGTGATGTACCGATTAATCGGTATCGGCATCGGTATCAGCTTAATCGGCCATTTTTTGCACAATCGGAATCAGTATCGGCATCGGCCTTTTTGACCAATTTTCCAACTGATGGCATTTTAATATTTTTATCCTGCATTATTATAATAATTAAATAATAAATAAACTAAATTTTGTGCATTACTTGGATAAATTTTTATTTTGACTTTGTTTGCAAACAAAAGCTTTAAAAGTAACCTGTTTAAGCATTGTTATCTATATATTTTTGATTATTTTTTACTCCCAATAAGGCTTCAAGCAACCACTATCAAAATGGGAGTTGCTAGAAAAAAAGTGTAGAATTATAGAGCAATGAAGTGGTTGACAGAAGACTTTAAAAGTTGAAGGTTGTATGAGTCAGAAAAACATGTAGATGGGACAATAAAAGACAAATAAAAGTTTTTGGAGCATGAAGAGACAGATACAGTCAAAGAATGAGACTTTGATGAATGACAAGTCAAGTGAGAATGAGTTTTGATGGAACTAAAGATGAAAGCTCCATTGAGCAGTAACCATGATAGTATTTGTAGAAAAGAAAAAGACTTGCAACTTTACAATAATGGGAAAGAGGCTTTTTAAACCTTATCTTGAAGGAAAAGAGCATCATTAGTAGAACCAGCTCAAATATGATAACAGTATTCCATACAGGAACAAATAAGAGATTTGTAAAGGTAGGGAATGGAATCAGGAGAAAGAAAATGGTGAGCACGATAAAAAGAAGCAACCTTAGCAGATGCTAATTTAGCAATTGATTGTATATATCGTTTCCTTGAAAAGTCAGTAGTAAATGATAATTCAAGAAGACGTAAAGAAGTAGAATCAATGAGAGGGTTGCCATTCATCAATAGACAGTACTACAATAGTTATTTGTCTGACAGCAAGTTATTTGACTCGAGATGGAATGTGAGAAATTTGTTTATCAAAGACTCAAAGACCTTGCTAATAACAGAAAGAAGACTGATTGGACAATGATCGGAGGGGTCAATAAGTTTACCTAAGTGTTTAAAACTTAGAACAACAGAAGCCATTTTCCAGCAGGCAGGAAAACAAGATTCAGTCAAGCACTTATTAAATAGTTTAGAGAAAATTGAAGAGAATTCTGGAGAACAATTTTGTTAGACTGTGACAGGAATGTTGTCTGGACCACAAGCCATAGAAGAGTTATAGACTATGACTATGAGCAATGGAAGATATGACTATGAGCAATGGAAGCTGAAATGATTTGAATGTCTAACAATGGGTTAACTTGTTTAATTAGAATGGAAGGAAGAGAATGGCCATAAGATTGAGAATCGGATTAGAAGAGAATTTCTTTGCAAATAGTTCAGCCTTATTTCATGTATTTAAGTATAGCCAAGTACCAAGTATATTTCTAAATTTTTAATTTTTTTATTTTAATTCACCTCCCTAAGGTCACAAAGGCCACTTCAATTGAGAAGAATGCTTTAGTTATGGTTACAACCCTCTTTCAAACACAAACCTTGATGAACAATGCCTCTGTGTGTAGAAACAAGTTAAGCGCTGTACTACCAGGGACGTGGTGGGGATCCAACATCACAAATTAAAATAATTCTAAAAACAATTTATTTATCTAAAAATAATTTATGTCTAAACAGCACATGATTGTTGTTTAGATATCTAAATTGCTAATAAATTGATAAAGAATTCTAAGTAAACTGAATATGCATATTTTCTTTTTTTAAAATTAAAATCAAAAGCATTCCTCTATAATTGTATTTATTTTTTTGAATTTAATTTAATTGTATTTAAGTTTTCTTTTCAAAGTAGAAAAAAAAATAAAAATGTATATTTCTTTAACTGAGTTTTTCTAATATCTTTTAAAATAATTGTTTGGCTTTGATTTGAGTCCAAGTACTTGTTTAACAGTACCAATTTAAAGTTTTATGGTTTTATATTTTCCTATTTTTAATATATATTAATGATCTACCAAAAACTTCTAACCTTATGACAATTGTGTTTGCTGATGATTCTAACCTATTTCTTTCTCATAATAACATTATTACACTTTTTAGCAATATGAACATTGAACTAGTCCGAATGGTTTAGATTAAACAAACTCTCACTAAATATTAAATATCAACTATGCAAACATTGCTTGGGGTAGCACTTATAATTGTAAACTTAAACCTCTCTATTGGCAATAGAAGCATGTTGCACGCCTTATAAATTTTAAGGACCGTTTTGCTCACGTCAAGCCTCTTTTATATGATATGAAAGCACTCAATATATATGAGTTGAATGTTTTTAATATTCTTTGTTTTAAGTATAAATGCAAGACCCACCTATCACCCGTTTCTTTTCGTAACTTGTGTTTACAAAAAGATAGAAATAAATATAATCTAAGGAGCGATAACTTAATTTGACAACCATTTTCTCAAACTAATTTTTGAAAATTTTTTATTTTGTTTCGCGGATCATTTCTATGGAATAGTATAGTTCTAAATACTTCTAAAGATTTTTCTCAAGAATGTAATTTTGATTCTTTTAAACAAAATCTTAAAAAACTTATTTTTTTAACTGAAAATATATTTATATACTTTTAAATTTTTGAAAATCCCTTATCTATATTAGTATA